TATGGCTGTAACATCTTCTAACGAGACCTTCTGCTCTTGCCGTTGAAACATGAGGTTGTCATCTACCCAACGGAAGATGACAATCGCTAACAGTCTTTCTATCACTTGTTTCCAAACATGAGCTGGTGCTCCAAAGACTCCACAACTCGCTACACCACCGAATCCGACGGCCAAGTCTACCCAAATCCTGTTGTAGAAGTCCATAATACAAAGGAATTGACGCTGACATGGATGTATTGGCAATTGACAATATGCTTTTTGCCAATCAAAAATCGCCACATCCCATTCCCCTGGGTAATCTTGAAAGAATCCTGCTACTTTATTGAAATCATCCCAGTAGGTCCCATAATTCAATTTATTCACGAAAGAATTGACTGATGGAGGTCCTTCTCCTTCCCTCGGAAAAGATAAATCAATAACCATCCTGACAGATCCATCGCTATTAACCGCACTACCCATCGGATTTGTTCTAAAGAAGCCCAACTTCTCATATACTTGTTCATGCGTAAATGGGCCTATGCTCCTCCCAGCCTCCCACTCTTTCTTCAAGGTTGCTTCTATTTGACTCCTTGCCTCCAAAGACAATCAATGGTTCTCTGGGGTGTACCAACGCAATCCTGGAATGTTGTGTTGTGGGATGCCAAGACAAAACCCTTCTGTGAGCCCACTCACTATATAAGGGATGTCTTCTTTCAAATGGACTTCTTCCATCAAGGCTACCCACTCATACACCTTCATCCTACAGGAGACTGGCATTGGCCACGGATCAAGAACTGGAATAGTGAATATTTTCCTCTGGCTCAAGGGTATTGGAACCTTCTTTTGTCTCTTAATCTCTTCTTCTATATCTTCTCCCAAACTAGAATCTTTGGATGCTGATTTCTCTTCCATCTGTAAATCCGATCTAGCTACTCTCTGAGCATCAATCCGAGCTTCAGCATTCAATCTCTCCATCGACCAATCTCGATGAGAATCTAGGCTCTCTGGTAGGTCACGTTGCTGTCTTCTCTCGCTCATCGAGGTACTGTCCCTAATCTCTCGATATCAAGCTAACAGACACATGTATTTCATCTTAGACAACACTCTTCATCACTGAATACAACTAATAGACTATTAGGCACTAACATGGTGAAAAAAATTTCCCAAGACCCAACAGAAGAGAAAAAGTTTTCCCCAACCCAATCCAGACCACCACCCACAATAGCCATGGAACACACCGTATTGAGTAACCAAATTAAGAGGATCTGTCAGATTGACCTCTTAATCAGTAATCTTAGAAAAGAGTTTACTTACGTAGGTTGACTATCTTCTTGGGTCGTGGACTTTGTGTTCTGTTTCGCTCCTTTATAGGCGTAATGAGGCTTGTAGGACGTTGAAGCAGCTGGAGTCACTGTTGTCGTCGTCTGCGCGTTGTCTGGAAGAATTGGCGTCATTAGTTTCTCACGCCACACTTGATTCTCAACAGCTTCAAATTAAGCCGTGCTCACCATTACAATTCAAATAATAATTATTCTTCCTCACGTAAGGCTTCTTATTTCCACCTCGCTTCCCTCTAAAGGTTGATACTGACTGTGACTTATCTTCAGTTGACTTCTCCGTAGCTTTTGAGGTCGAAGATTCTACCTATGGTCTCCCAGTCGTGAAACTGAAACCAAATTTTGGACAACCTACTGCGTAGGGATTGTCCTCAAATTGGAGATCACCGGCCCAATCCGCAAAAAATTTTGCATCTGCCGCTACTTTGGCTTGTAGACCATTTGGTAACCTGACTTTTTCTTTGTACACTGTCTTGCCATTAACTTTAGTCTTGACTAACTTTCTTCTACGGAAGATTACAGTCCTAATTGCCAAATGATAACGTAGACCAACCATCCAACACAAGTACTTCTTCTTCAAGTTCGAGACAATCTGCTTGTGCTTCACGATGTAATCTGCATACATGTCTAATTGATATATTTCTCTAGCATAGCGCTCTTCTAAGTCACACATTTCAACAAAGTCGCCAAAGGTGATTTGTTTCTCTAAGAGCACGTTCACTTAAGCGTGATTTCTTGAAATCACATTAAGGAACAGGGCTTTTCTACATGTAGAAAAGTCTTTTTTTTAAAAAAGCGTTGAAAATCGCATTTTGTGAAAAAAGAGAGAAACAAGAGAAAAGAGAGATCAAAAAGCGTTTGGTTTGTTGACCATCGAAAATCGATTTTTGAATTGTTGACCATCTCGATCGTTCTCAACTTTTGCTTGTTTCTACATCTCATTCTCAAACTCATCTACATCTACATCTCATTCTCAACTCGTTATCCTCACCTTGTTGACCTCTTACATATAAATACGCACTACAGTCCCCATCATCATGTCATCCTCTTCGGAGTCAGACTCTGATGCGTCTTCTGAAGCCTCTTGACACCCAATCAAGCTTTTGAAATTTATCATCAAAGCTGGAAAAGACTATCTAGATTCTATCATGGCCCCAAAAACCAAGATCCCATGTAAAACTTCCAAACTACGCGGAAATCAGTACACTCAAGAAATCTTGAACGGTAGCGACGTTTGATTTCGAGAGCTCTGTCGTATGGACAAGCTTGCTTTCAAGGGCTTAATCAAAGCCCTTTAAGGTAAAATTATTATTTGTCGCAAGAGAAGTGTCACTTTAGAGGAGCAGGTCATGATATTTTTATACATCATCGGCAATTCTGGTTCACATCAAGTTGCTGGTGAACGCTTCCAACGTTCCGGTCACACGATTAGCAAGCAATTTAATAAGGTAAGCAAAGGCATGGCATCACTCGAATCCATTGATATGGGCAACCTACTGGAAATGGACCTTGTCCAAAAGGAGATACCAAGCTTTTACCCGTACTTCGAGAAGTTTTTGGGTGCTATAGATGGCACTCACATCCCTTGTATTGTTCCTCCTGACCGTCAGCCAGCCCATCGAAATCAAAAGGGAGATCTCTCTCAAGACATCCTTGCGGGGTGCTCCGGTAATATGTTGTTTACGTTTGTCTACGCCGGCTTAGAAGGATCACAAGCGGACGCCTGTGTCCTTCTTCGAGCTCTTGAGGAAGGTAGATTCGAAGTACCTGAGGGTAAGTCAAAAGTTTTCTCCCTCAAGATGTTCTTTTGTAGATTATTGATTTTTCATCTATTGATTTCAATCCAGACCGCTTCTATCTTGCCGACGCTGGATACGCCAATGTACCAGGCTTCCTTGCATCTTATCGGTCGGTTCGATACCACCTCAAGGAGTGGAGACATTCAGGTCTAACACCACAAACGGCAAAGGAGCTTTATAATCACCGTCAGTCATCTCTTCGAATCGTAATTGAAAGGATCTTTGGCGTGTCTAAAATGCGGTTTCCTATATTAGCTCAAATGCCTTCATATCCATACAAGATACAAATTATGATCGTAATGGCGTGTTGTGTACTACATAACCTCATCCGAATCGAGTCCGGCGAAGATGAGTTCTACAAGGAGTATATGCTGAAGGAACGGTTAGAAACGAGATTAGATGGTGATAATTTAAACCCTGACTGGGTTGAGCCAAATACTGCTGCACGTACTCAAGCAACTGAACAAAGAGATTCGCTTGCAGAAAGGATGTTCTATGATTATATTCATGCACCTGTAGCACGTAGGCAAGCCTAGAAATCTTATTGTACATTTGTGTTCATCATGTCAAAACTTTTATCTCATTTAGGGGATACAAAGTTAAAACTGGGAGTTTTTTCCCAGTTTCCCAGTTTCCCAAATACCGCTAAAAACGCAAACTGAGAAACTGGGAGAACGTGGGAAAGTTCCAAACACAGCCAAAAACAAAAACTGGGAAACTGGGACTAAAATCCCAGTTTTAACTTTGTATCCCACAATTGTATTCATTATCTCATTGTGTTCATCATGTCAAAACTTTTATCTTATTGTATTCATTATCATCATTTATAGCAGCAAAATTGTATCATCATTAAAGGCAAAATAACAAATAACAATATTTAATTACTGTAAGATACATGTGTTATCTTTTGTTTGAGTTACGTGTCTGAGATACAAATATTTTTGAGAGGAATTGAAATTAGATACATGATCATTCAACTACATCCTTATACTCATGTAGTATTCCAGCCTCACTCTTCAACCAATCCCACCTGTAAGCCTTATCCATATGAAAGAAAAAAGAAGCAGTGTCATCTTTTTTTAATTCATTAACTACTTTGATAATTTGATGAGGTTTTAATTCTTTGCTACATTCTTTGTTGAAGATGCTCATCGCTTCTTGCCTCATTGGATGTTGTTCTAACTTGATTTTGGCGATGGTGACCTTATCACTATCGTTTTGCTCCTCTAACCCTGCTACTCGATCAATAGCTGAATCAATTGATTGGGCTACTAGCTTTGGTCCAGAGACTCGTGATTGTTTGGCACTCAAAATCAATCCTGATGGAACCGGACTCCGTTTGTTGCGTATGAATCGTCTCACTGGTGTCTCATCATCATCACTACTGGTGTCGAGGTCATGTTCAGCCGCGGTGAGACTGTCGAGTCCAGACTTGCGCTAGGACCCTGGAATACCCCTATGGAGGTGGGTGACGGGAAAGGTGTTTTTTTGGGGGCAAAATTTGCCTATGTGCGTGACATAAAAGTGGCTTTTTAGCCAATTTCTGCCAAACTGTGCGTGACGTGAAAGTGGACTTTTGAGGTGTGAAATGTTGATGTAGGTGACATGAAAGGTGAGTTTTTGGACTTTCCAAGTTCCAAAGAGCTCTGTAGAGTTCCGCAGGAACTTCAAAGTTAAACCTTCCAGAGATCCACAAGCTTTGCACACCGCCTCAAACACCCAACAGCCTCCAAACCTCCACATATCACCACGTACTGCATATTCTGCATATTCAGCATACACATATATAAATAAAACAATATCAAAGTGATCCAAGCCGATCAAACTCAATAAAGTACACTCAAGGTTTCAACAAACACGTGAAAAAAGTGTGAAAATAGTGAAAATGTTATCAACTGAATCTGTCCTCCGAAAGATTCTCAATCTGTGTGAAAACTGCCCCAGACTTCGAGAAGGAACTTGTCACGATCTAATCTTCAAACAGTTCTCAAACGCTCCGATTGCTGACAAAGACGAAGGTATGTGGGTTGCAGTAAATGCAACTCTCGATGCTGCCTTTGCTAAGGATTGTATCGGAGAAAATATCTTGAAGGGGACCTTGGGCCTTCCAATGGTGGTCAATTGGGTCCGAAAAGCTGAAAAGCATCCCACTTGGGACCTCAATTCCGAGATGCTTATCAACATCAAGCTGGAGAATATTGTAGCTGCGCTCAAAGGTGAAGATTTTTTTTTGATTCTTTCCTTTATCTTTTTCCCAATCTTTCACTTCTCGTTTTCCAATTCTTTCTTTTCTCGGTTTTCATCCTTTTTTTATGCTTCCTTTTCTTGGATTGCAATCTTTTTTTTATCTTTTTCCAATGAGTACTTGCCCCTTTCTCAATCATTTTATTATCTTTTTTGAATTATTTCTTTTATCTTTTTTCAATTCTTTTTTTCAATGTGCTCAGCCCAGTGAGGCTGATATGAGTTTAATTCTCAAGCTTTGGGGGCTGAAGACCCAGATGACCGATCTGATCCAAACGTCACCAATAAACGCCCATTAGAAATTGAATCTAACCCGAGAACGCCAAACAATTCTACTGACTCTAGTCCTCCAGTCAAGCAAGCTCGAACGGCGTGTCACGTTTCCAACATCATCGTAATATCCTCTGACGATGAAACTAACTTCGAACCTGCTGAAACACGAACTTCAAAGGATCAAAAGCATCATATCAAGCACATGAACGTTATCGAATTATGTCCATTATCCAGACCAGGCGATGAGTGTAAGCAATGCAAGGTTGAGATGCGCACTGGCGGCAAAGATTTCTCATGCCATTACAATTTGGCTCAGCCACGGTCGTGTGAGAATTGCTCAAGCTCACTGGGCCACTGGTAAGTTGATCATGATGTTCTATGTACATCGTGATCTTGACTTGATACTAACATTCTATTTTCACAGAAACTTGCAAAGACAAGACGGAAAACCTCAAGAACAACACTCAGTTGACTACTTTTTTCAAACGTTCCACCTCAATTCCTAATTCGATCACGGTGGCTTGTCCAGGACTCAATGACGAAACTTGGGAACGAAGAAAAGCAACGCACTCGATTGCCCAATTCATCTCAAAGACCTTCACCATCTATCGTGGAAATCACCAACATGATATCTGCCAAGAGCTTTTTGGAAAGCACGCTCAAGAAAATCAGTTGACAAAAGCTCAAAAGTCTCAATTAATTGCAACATTAGATGCTAGATCAACTTGGCAAGTCAAGAGGCACGGAGAGCGGAGTGCAATATACTCGAGTGACTGCAAAAGGACCTTAATTTGCAAGAAAAACGACGAGAACTTGGTGTGTAGCGCTTGTCAAGATCTCAAGGCCAACCGTAGCTTGTTAAAAGCACTAAATTCCGATTATGCAAAAGATGACGATATCAAGTACTCTCGAAATGATTACTTGTCCGACAACACCCACTCCTTTTCATCCACGTTATTGAAATTATCAGATTGCCGTCTCCTCCAAACTTCGATCGAAAGTTCATCAAATGGTGATTTCACCCAGTTCATGACGGTTGTTGCTGCTTCCGCTCGGAATGGACTCTTTTCAAATCGTGACGCCACACGTGGCTTGATCAAGGCAGTGGCTATTAAGGCTGAACGTGAAAATGCTGGAAAGTCCACTCGGGGCATGAGAATTGACTCATGTCTGGATGAGTTTGTGATGACTCTAGGGGCCATCAGCCCTCGGGCTCTAACCACAGTGACATTTTGCTACTCACTGGCAGGCCAGTGAGTACGTCCAGCTCAATCCAATCTCAATTCAACCTCAAAACAATGTCAGTTCAATCTCAATTCAATCTCAATCCAACCTCAATTTTTGGCCTGGAAGAGCAGAAAAACAGTCTTCCAAAATGAACTGAAATAAAGTTTAGTTTATGTCCACACATGAAGGTGTCAGAATATCTGGAAGGCTTGAGTGATTTTTGGAAAAAATAAAATTATTATGGCCAAATATCCTTCTCAGTCCCTTCCAAAGACTTCTCCTGCAACCAGAAGCAACAGCTCTTGATTATATATTGTAATGGTATGATACTTGTTTGGGAAGGGGTTAATTTATATACTCAGAGATTCAAATATGATATTCAAGGAATGAAAATATCAGAAGGAAAAATAATGGGTTATGAAGTGGTTGTTTTTTGGTTTGTGATGTTAATACATCAATCTATTATGTATTGCAATTTTTCATTTGACTTTATACTATTTCATTCACTTCATATTGTTTACCATGTTGGGTCTTTCATTGTATTTAGAGAAAAGATTCTTATATACCCATTGTTTTTTTGGTCCTTTGTTTGTAGAGTGCTTGTTCACTTTTTTGGGAGGAACACATGTTTTTTTGAACTGTGAAAGAAATTATAAAAGGGCAGTCCTGAGATCAGCTTAACTCTGAAATACCAAAGCATCAACATACATATGAGCTGATAATACTGCATTTTGCCTTTGAAGACTTCCCCAGGAAGTTCCTGATGCAACCCGATAGTCCAGATCCCAATGCTATCATCGGGCGGGGCCGCCAGGTCGCGACTTGGAGGGGTGTATACATACTAAGCTACATTGGCGTGTAAATCCATCTCAAGGACCAAAGTCTCAACAATCAAACAATTGCAAGACTCTACGACTCAACAACTCAACTCAAACAGAACAAAACAGATTACACTCTCAACAGTGGACTCTTTTTCTCAAGATAAATCAACTAATCAAATGAGCAAATCACAATCAATCCTGAACCCTTCAAGGAAATATTGAAAACCACATTCACAGGTGGGAAAATTGAATTCAGCTTGGATAGACAAATTAGAGCAATGTCAAGACAGTCAACCTGATCAAGCAAAACCCAAATGAAGTCTCATGTTGTTTCAACTTTCAATCAACATTGATCAAAAGGTCAACTCAATCTGCCTTGAAGGTGCCAATGCATATGATGATTGTGACTCATCAATCTTTGAGTAAAGATCATAGACAGAAATCGATGGCTTTGACTTCTCATAAGTGTAATTAGGTTGTAAATTTCGCATTTGATGGACTTGATAGTGAATTAAAACACCTTATGAGATTTTGGTCAAGAACTTGTGTACCGCTTCCCAACCCATACCCTTTCCACTCCTTTTGAAACACCAAACTCAAACTATCATAATTCATTATATCACTTGTGATGTGTATATATCTGATCCCATAATTGGGTTTATGTTGATTTGCTTGTTATTTTCTTTTCAGAAAAAACTGGACACAATTAAATTTACTCCTGAAGTTTTGAGCACTGTGAAACAAAGAAATCAAAATGATTATTGAACTTTTTTGTGAAATTCTAGGCAATTGCTTCATGATGTAATTGAAGTCTGTTGAATCTTGTGCTATACCAATGTTTGTAGAAGACAATTTTTTTCATATTGGCAATGAGCCCAACTTCAAAAAACAAAACAATGAAGTTGAATCAATTAGATGAGATAGAAATGGAGAGAGAGATACCCTTCCACATTTCATCTTATAAGTCCAAGTAAGTGATGAACTACTGACACATGAAATTTATGATGTGTATATATTGTTTTAAATCATCACCTTGACCTTCATCATCATATTGTTTTATCAGATCTATCATATCAGTATTTCACCTATGATGCACAACACTCCAATAATTGAAGTGTTACACATGAAAAAATTATGAACTTACTC